GGGGAAAATTCCACTTCCAAGATCATTCTTGTTGTTGGTAGAAGTCATTTTCTAGTGGCTGTTGGACTGCAGTCCTGGAGTCTTTGATGGCTTTCAGCTCAGGGCCCTCTCAGCTCCTAGGGGTTACTCCAATGCCATGTCACGTGGCTTCCGTTATCTTCCAACCAGCAATGGTGTATTGCATCTTTCTTGTGGTTTGAATCTCTGACTTCTCCTCTTGTGAACAGCCAGAGAAAATTGTCTGCTTAAGGTCTTATCTGGTAAGTTCAGGCTTCTGCTTCTTTACCTATCACAACTGTAGCCCTGGCCTAGTCTTCCCCATTTGTAAAGTAAGATTTTTTAGATAGCAAATCATGCTTCAAGTACTCATGCTTCCAACAACTTTCAATCTACAGCAAAGCCTCACTTCCTTAACCCTCCCCTAAATCACCTAACCAAAGTCCTAATCGTATAATAAGTCATTTCTAAAACGCTCTTCTTGAAGTACCACATGATTTGCCATGGTACATGTTCTTTCTCTTTGCAACCAAACTTGTTCAAATACAGACATATTCCTGGTGGTTTTTGGCTGGAGGGCACTGCCATTCATGATTTTTGACAAAGAAGTTCCACTTCAAGGAATTTATCATACAGAAATATTCAAACAGGCATGAAGATATAAACAGGGATACATCCATTTTCACAGGAAAAAATATGAATATGAAAGAATATACTAAAAAGTTATGTTGCAAAACTATAAAATGCTGCTGAGAGAAATCAAAGGAGACCTAAATAAGTAGAGAGATATATTTTGTTTGTGGGTCAGAAGATTCAACATTGATGTTATTTCTCCTTAGTTAATCTAGTGATTTAGAACTATCTCAATCAAAATCCCAGCTGGAGTTTTTGTAGAAATGGATCAGCAGATTCTAAAATTTATATGGAAAAGCAAAAGTAAAAATAACCAAAATAACTTTGAAAAATGATAAAGTTAAATGACTCACACTGCCTGATTTCAAGAAATTATAAAGCTACAGTAATCAAGACAGCATGGCATTGCAATCAAGATACACGAGTAGATCAATGGAACAGAGAGTCTAGAAACAGATCCATACATACAGGGACAACCGATTTTTTGACAAAGATGCAACAAAGACAACTCAAGGGAGAAAGAAGTCTTTTTTTTTTTTTTAAAGATTTTATTTATTTGAGAGAGCGAGAATGAGAGAGAGAG